CACTTGGATGAGTTAAGTAATGTGCCATGGAGGGAGCCCTTGGGCCCTTTTTCAATCTGGAGGAAGGTGACATGCTACAGTTGTGTTTTGGATGTCGCAGTATGAAACGCTGTAGTCGTTCCATAGAACTTCTGGACATGTGCACTGTCCAAATCAAGTACCACTGTTGTGAACCCTGCATTTCATGGAGTGTATGTTTTTTTTTTGTTTTGTGGTCGCGTGCAGGCCTATAAAACATGGATGTATTTGCAAACAGCCTAGTCCCATGCGTGACACCAGCATTCGAGCAGACTTCGAAGCTTCGAACAGCCTTTTTCGAAGCATGGTACACAAGGTGTATGAGAATCTGCATCCAATGTCCTTGATTAGATGTTCATTTCTATCTGGTTGGTGGTTTGGAACATTTTTTACTTTTCCATATTTTGGGAAGAATAATCCCAACTGACTAATATCTTTCAGAGGGTTGAAGCCACCAACCAGCTATACATTTGCATTCCTATGCCGTTTTAAAATACTGCTTTTTGCACTCTGATCCATGGAAGTACATGTGCAAGCCGCCACACGCATAGACAGCATATAGATATAATAATATAACACTATATAGATATAGACTATATATAGATGTACCAAGACACTCAAAGTACCCATGAAAAAGGGTCAAAGTACCAAAGGGATGGGTGTAAAACAAATATGTTTCATGGGTGAGCCGAGTGTCCAAGATCTCACAACAGGGTGAGGCCCCCCAGTGAAGCAAGTGAACTGAGTCAACTGTCAACTTAGCACAATTCAGCTATAAATCCCATGGAAAATCCCATTTTCTCTGGTTTTCCTATGGTTTTCCCATGGTTTTCTGATGGTTTTCCCATGTCCTGAACTCCTGCATCCCTTCAGGTGCCGCGCAGCAGTCGCACACCTCCGCCGGGACCGCGTTGCAAAACGCCCTGCTCGGTCCCGGGTCGGCGCGGCCCTGCCATGACGTGAGCACTGCCAAGGAGGACCATAGTTACATAGCGCATCAAGATCATCAAGAAGCCGGAAATTTGTAGCCAGATTTTTTTTTGTTAAGGGTCTTTGAAGCTCTTGGTATATATATATATATATACGTATATACACATATTCTATTTATATATAATTAGATAAATATATATAAGTATAGATAATAACAATAGCGTAAGAATAGTAATAATCATCAACAACAGCAACAGCATCATCAGCATCATGAACATGATTCCCATCAGCTGCAAAGGATTGTGATTTCTTAACACCTTTCTCCCTGCCAATGCCGGAGTTTGCTTTGAAATCTTCAGGCTGTGATCTACTGCTAAACTCATACAGTAGTACCTCAGCCACAAGCTGCCAGCAGTAGAAACTACCAGATCTCACCATGCTTGGCTCATCCAAAATGGCAAAACCATGCAAATTCATTTCTCTCCATGTGTGAATCTCCGACTTGAGCCTTGCTTGAGTTCCCAACATAGCCAGAAACTTTCCACACCTTCTATGAGATTTTGCTTTCATCCGCGCTCCCATTTTTCGCCGGGGAACATCAGCCATCTCCCCCTGATGTGGTTTAGACATATATATATATATATATTTGCTCATCTTTTCAAAACCGCAAACATATAAATTCCACACAGCCATTTTCCAACGCGAGTTGTGGGGTCATCCTTGGAAGCAAATTCCCTATACAAAAAAGCAGCGAGTTGTGGCGTTTCTCTTCGCAAGTGCGTCTTCTCCTCATTTCTTGGAGAATTTATTGGGCATATATTCGGGAACTATAGCCATTTGATGCCATTTGGAATTGGGTCAACATCCAGTTGCTACTTGGGATACTTAAGGGATGCACTAAAATTACTATCGGGCTGGTATGGATTGGTGGCTAACCCTCTGGTAAACATACAAAAAGCTATTGAAATTGGCCATTTATAGTGAGTTTTCCCATGAAAAATGGTGATTTTCCATAGTTATGTAAACGTTTACCAGAGGGTATCCCCAAAAGCAAAGGCACTTTGAATGGTCGACATTCAATGTCGGCGCGAGGTCACCCTGTTCTTGGCAGATTTTGCGAGGGTCTCAAACTGCATCATCGTTCCCGAGTGGTTCTGGGGTAACTCTGTTACTCCCTGAATCAATCGGGAAGACCAATGGTTTTGGGGCACCTCAATTTCAAATGCTGCAGTTCGTTGGCAAAGTTGATTTATATAAGTAACATAATTAAGTACAGGATGTATGATACTCCATGAAATAATTGTTTTTTTTGTATTAACCAACAACCCTGCCCCACTGCCGCCCTGCCGGCAGGACCGTTTGTGGCTCCCAGCGCAGGCCGCGTACCACACCACGGGGCTGGACAGCGGGCCACGCCCCGAAGAGGTGAAGACGCAGCGGCTGCCCACGCCGCCGCGGCCGGCGGAGAGGCCGCCGGAGCGGCCGCGGCCAAGGCGGCCGGCCACGGCACATCCCAGGTGGGGAATGGGGGGAAGGTGATGCCCCAACCGCTTCTGCTGGTTGATTGAAAAATGGGCTGCTCCCAGGCAGTTGGTTAATAAAACCATGAGCTAGTAGATATATATATATAAACATATGTTTATCATGGTGATAAGTGATAAGCCAACTCAGCCATCGTTGGTAGCGGCCTCACTTTGTGACTTTATTTACCACCAACAAATAATTAAGTAAACAGACCAGTTGATGGTGATATATATATATAATGGGGGAATAATAGGGAGACGAGGGAATGTATTGCAACGTGGTGCCCCACTGAATGCTGGCCAAGTTGTTTTCCAACTTGGTAAACTGTTGGGTTTATGATGATGATATAGCTATACTTAATGAGGTTGATACCGAAATTTATGGGTCTGTTTGTTTTTTGTAGACGTTTATAGTTTATAAAAGTTAATTAATTGCTTCTACCATGGAATGGTTTCAGATGTTTGTGGGATGTGTATGATTTCACCGAAAGATACACAGCAAGAAGGTACAGACTGTACGCTTGAAGGTGAATTTTGATTGTCAATCATGTTGAAACGCACCGTTCAGGGTCTCAGATACTGTATGGGTCTGTATGGCGTTCGGAGACCCAATTTCAAGATGGTGCCCCCAACAGGTTTAAACAGGTTTATCTACCCGGTCACCGTTCTCAAATGGACCTACTCCAAGGTCCATTGAGGGATATTGCATGATATTGCATTATAATGTTTAGATATGTTAATGTATGCTAATATATATATACATATTTAACCACCATAAACCCTACTAGTTCACCTAGTCGCAAACTAACTCATTTAATTAAGGCACATCACCTTGTAGAGGTTATGACATGATGGTCTGAAAGACCATGCGATCTGCCCTTTTAGAGCAGCATGTACAGTATACACCAACCAACCAGTCTGTTTGCTGTTCAAACAAATATCCATTGATAATGCACTTCATTACCCACTAGTGGGGTTTCTTACAGTGGGGAATCCTTAAAATTTCATGAGTTTCAATACTAAGATGGTCATACATTTTCCTTGAATGATTTGGGGTACCCGCATTTTGAAAACTAATGTGTTTCCATACCAACTTGTTTCTGGTGTGTTCATGTTCGCTGCTTGTAAAAGAAATTGACTATTATATAATACTGACTGTTGGATTTTTATCAATATATTGATATTTATATGATATAACGGAGTGTTTCAAAACTAATGGATGTTTAAAATCTTCCGGGTTGTAAATCCTGGCCCTCAAGGCTGCAGGAGAACCGTGCTCAGAGTGCTCAGACAGATCCAGGAGCGGTTGCAGCGGGGCCTTGGGTGTCAGTGGCCAAAAAGCTATGGGTTGATTGGTTAACGTTTGGGTTACCATCTGGTTATGACTAACATAGCCATGGTATAGATGGCCCATAGAAATAGATAGAAATAGATGGTTTACCTATTACAAATGGTGATTTTCCATGGCTATGTTAAATAACCAGAGGGTACCATGGTACCATGGTTTATGGCAGAGATACAGTGGATGAACCAGCGAAATCTGGCACCAGTTGATAGGTGGTAAACATATACATCCCATTGTTTATAGGGTTTCAAACATCCTTTTGGTGGTGCAGGATTTCTTCCATCCACAGTATCATGCTATGATGTGCTATATCATGCTTCTATATCTATAGTATATATTCATATTCATGTGTATTCATGGCTTTACAAGCCAGCAAACATCACTGGTTGCTTAACGTTTTGTTTTTATGGTAGATATACCGACCTATTTAGTATGCATTGCTTTATAAAAACCAGCAAACTTAGAACTGCTGGTCCCCACCTTTGATGGGCATGATGGACAAGAACTGCAGATTTCACATCTAAAAATACATGTAATTCTTTGCCAACAAACATAATCGCGGATTTAGTATAATAGTAAATGAAAAGCCTTAGCGACTTATTAAGTTATGGATATGTGTGCGTATTCAATAATATGATATACATAGTGTTAGTTCTCCGCTCGTCAAGGGGATGTCAGGACAGAACCAGCAGACTTGTGATCACCAGTGTGAGCTCTTCCTGAGACAAAATTCGACCCTTATCTTGTGCTTGCTCAAATCTGTTGAGTAGATATACTATGATATACCCTCTGGTAAATTAACATAACTATTGAAAATTGCCATTTATAGTGGATTTACCCATTAAAAATAGTGATTTTCCATAGCTATGTTAGTTTACCAGAGGGTATCTCAATCTAGGTTTGTTTTCCCATTACAATATCCCCATAAAATGGTTGGTGCAAACCTCATTTTGCTGGACAAATTTCCATGGAAAATCACATGCAACCAAGTTAGTTATATCCTCAACCACAATTCTTATGTTAAATCCAATTCAATATCCCACAAAACCACCATTCTTGGTCAAATCCAATTGAATCCTATAAAATCCATGAACACACTTTTCCCTTGGAGAATCCAATAAAGGCCACCCATTTTTCCTCGTGAAAACTCCCCTTTTCGGATTCCAGGCGTTGCGCCGGCCGGCATGCGGACACCTCGAGCGGTGAGAGCACCTTGGGCTGATCGTCGGGCGAGCCTTTCGTAGAAGGGCTTATATGTACCCTATCCAGTGGTTAGGAGGCAGCCAAGGAGCCAGGGGTATTCATATTCCCTATTAAATGGGGAGCCAAGGAGCTACTTAGAGTTTTCCAATCACCTAATAGCTGTACCATTCCCTCTGGTAATTTGTTACATAAAAAGATGGTTCAAATCACCATTGAAATCGTGAATTGTCCCATGATTATCCCATGAAATTAAACAATTATCATGGGTTTGTTTAAGGTGATTGTTTATATTCCCAATGGAAAATCCACCATGACTGGGGAATCGATTAAGTGAATATTGTTTTATTTTTTGGGAACCCCTGCAAATCCAAGTTATAGACCCCCGATTGTATGTGGAATATCCCTTATTATCCCTAGTGCTCCAAATACCTTCTGAGAAGGTGTAAACAGAGCCAACAAAAAAAACAACTCCAAATACAGTCTCGGTGTTTGGAGCTGTAGGGCTCTATTATATATGAGATTATACGGGTTATATGGATTCAAACCCACTTATATTCTGGGTAAGTCAGAACGACCTCACTGTGACCTCACTGGAATGATGGTTAGGATTCGGGGAATCATACCCAAGAAAGCCTTAAACGACCATTTTGTTAGGCCACTCTCATGAAATCCCGTTAAACCCCACTTTCATTAGTTAAATCCTCCAGCAACCACCATCGTTCAATGAGTAAATCCTTTTTTTTTGCTGGTTAAATCCCATTCAAGCCACCATTTTTGGTGGTAAGTGGCAAAATCCCATTAAAATCCCAATCAAGTCACCATGATCTTGATAACATCCCATGAAATCACCATTGTTTCAAGGGTAAATCCCATTAAATCACATAAAAACACCATTAGAATCCACTAAAATTCCACAACACATCCATTCAAATCCCACAAAAAAAGTTCCCATTAAGATTAACTAAACTTCATTACATCCTACAATGTGGGGCCCCCAAGATAGCGTTCAGTTGGTTTATAACTCCAATTTCACTATGGTTTATGGTACGTAAATAACTCTAGTATTCATGGGGTGAATCTAAACCAACGTTCACATCACTTGGGGGCCCCCGCATTGTAGTAATAACTGCTTATTTCTATGGGATTATATATTCTATAAATGGGGTGACTTCTTAGTACTTATAACATCCTATGAAAATCCTATAACATCACCATTTTTCACGGGGAAATGCCATCAAAAACACATGAAATCAGCATTTTTAGGTAAATCCCATCAAAATCCGATCAAATCCCAATTTTTGATAAGTAAATCCCATAAAAAATTCATTAAATCACCATTTTCCATAGGTAAATCACGTGAAATGCACCGTTTTTTTCCGGGCGATCCATCTTCGCCAAGGCATGGCAGTCGGCCGACGCCGCCCTGGCCGCGGAGATCCACCGCCGGCCTGTGGGCGGTGGGGCGGATGTGGCCATGGCCGAGGACGGTGACGCGTTTTCAGCATGGGAAGATGGTGAGCTCAGGATTTTTCATTGATTTTCAAAGGGATTATGAAACTATCAACGAACAGCAATGGATTTTCCCCATGATGGATCTTAGTAAGCGTTACACTTGTTCTTTGGAGAAAACTGTTGGAAAGGGATTAAACGATTTTTATTTTTGATTTAACCATTTGATATCCCAAAACCGAAATGCAATTGACAACTGATGGTTTTGGGATACCCTGATTCTCTGATTAAATACCCATTTGACATCACCATATTCTCACATGGCCAAAAAATGATATCCCAAAACCTAAATGTTTTTTTTTTCAATGGATTGGTTTCCACCCGAAAATCTTAACCGGAAACCATAAATTTTCCCATTAAGATCATGGGGCTTTCCTGTAGATTTTCCCTTAAACCTGTAGGTTTAAATCCCAAAGGGGTTTCTACAATAACTATGGTTTATGGTTATCTAACTATATGGTTCATGATGATTTATAAGCCCATGAATACTACTGTATATAATCTACATACCATAAACTATAATCCCATTAACTATCACCTATAAACTATTGTGAAATTGGAGTTATAAACCAACTTAGCTATCATAAATCAGCTATAAATCCCATGAAATCCCCAATTTCCTATGGTTTTCCTATGATTTTTCCTTCCTGTTTGGGGGCACCACCACCTTGTTGCGCAGGACCCCGGTTGGACGCCGCATCGGTGGCTGGGCAAAAGGTCGAAAGGTCGCCAACAGCAAGAAACTGCTTGGTGGTTTGGAACATTACTTTTATGACTTTCCCATCATATTGGGAATAATGATCCCAGCTGACTTTCATATTTTTCAGTGAAACCACCAACCAGATAGGGTTTTCAACAGCAAATCAAGTTTTCAAGAATGGCAAATTGCTGAGAATTGGATCATTGCACTGTATATTCACAATGTTTTTTACAAATCCATAGAAATCTATCAAACATTCATAGAAATCCACCAATCCATCAAAATCCATAGAAATCCATCCTTAAACCACCGTTGCCTTTGCGTTTCGTATCGCATGACTCAACTCGAGGCAGTTTGCGCCCGAAGAGTTGCGGTACAACCCCATCACTCACCAGGTCGGGGTGACGCTACAGCTGATGTAGAAACCATGGGAAAACCAAAGGGAAAACAATTGTGTTTTTTTTTTTTAAATATGTGTTTATCATGTTTTTAATGGAATTTAATGGAACTTAATAGGAATTGATAGGATCTATATAGATATATCATGAATGATATATCTAAATGGTCATGTTTTATCATGTTTCTTGATTCAACTGATTTACCCAGTGGAAAACGTTCATTTGATCTAGAAAAATGGGGGATTTTTTGGTGTTTATAGCTGATTTATGATAGCCAGATGTTGAGTCTGCATCATGACTAGTGACCAACGTTTGGGTTGTGTGTGGGGGGTATGTATGTAATTATAATATTCATGCAGTTATGGCCCAACTAACAGTTATAAATAGGATTGTAACTCCTGCAACTGAGGTTATATATACATATATCATTATAGTCCCATTTATAACTGTTAGTTGGGTCATCACTGTGGATCATGGGTTTATTAACAACAAACATCACGGGTGGGCTGATCTGGTTTGAGAGTTGTTTTTTTGTTTTTTTTTGATTAGTTCACAAGAGGTTTGTGAATATATTTATGAGTCTTGTTGGCAATGCTGGGGAAAACACCAAATTTGGATGACACAAATTCAAACTTGGAAAGAAATTGCACATGTCTATAGATGAATACTAGATGAATACTAGATGATTTACAGTATGGTTTACCGTTTTTTGAAAATGGTTATTCTCCAGTTCGCTACATCAACCAGTTACGGTATTCCTCCGTCCTCCAACGCGCTAACTCAGGTGGATGTCTTCGTGAATGTGGATGGTGACATCCAAAAATGCGAACCATCTGTGGGGGAACCCAGGGCCATTGGGTTGAGGCAATCACTGGGAAATAGGTGGGGGAACTCATATGTACGTTGTTTTTTTGAGAACAGATTGGTAAACAAAAATAAGATATGATCATATTGAACTAGAGTTGATGATGCTTATAGACCAAAACACACTATATATATAAAATAAATATATAACTGGGGGGCAATTTTGGAGGATACATTGACCCTCAAAGTACAGTTACCTACGAGATGATCAAACATGAAAAGACATGCCGCAATTCTACTGGTAAAATGCATGTCTCTTTGTCCTCAGAAGATGGAGAACTTTGGTACACACATTTCTCTCTGTTGGACCTTCGATTCCAACTTGAAAACAATGGTTTTTTCGTCGACACCGTTTAGCCAAAGCTGATACCCGGCCTGGTAAACATACAAAAAGCGACATGGAAAATGGCCATTGAGGCGGAAGAATATCGCCAGGCAGGGGTTGCTGTGGCGCGTGGCTTTGGAGAATCTGGAGACCTGGGCTACGCAGTGGGGGGCAGTTGAGCTTGTGTTCATGGGCAAGGTATAACGTTAGTTACCGTTAGTTGTTGCCACTGGTTGCCCATAAGTTGGGATAAAACATTAAATCATAAAACCCTATATAATTCTGGTTATATAACCGCTTATTGATGGAACTGCAAACCCAAGTAGATGGTTCCAGTGTCAGGTTTTGAGAAGGGCAAAAACAGGTGCACCCATGAATCAAGGCTCTGAAGCAAGTAGACAAGTGGTTTTGGAGAGTGTCCAGAATCCAGGATTCCACAATTCTGGAGTTTGCTTATGTTTGGATCCTTTCTCATGGTCTGCTTTGATAGGGTTTTCACCTTCATCTTGAATCACACTTGAGACTGATTGAGACTTGTTTTTGTTGGCAATCAAGGAGTTGTCATCATCAAGAGCTTGTTGGTTTCTGATATATTGATATATATTGTACTTTCCGCTTGACCAGAGACATTTATTTCAGAATTGGCCTTTTATTCTCGCTCCTGTCAGATGCTGGTCCGGCTAGAGAATGCTCCTCCAAAGAAAGGCCGAAACGCATCGAAACTATGGGCAGATGGGTTAGTAAAACATGAGGTCTGTAAATCCACAATCCACTGGTGTATCTTAATAGTAGTCTGTTCAATAATGGTTAACGGATGAAACATGTTCATTGCTTATAATAATGCTTAACAATCCTCAATGATGGTTAGCTATGTTTAACAATGGTTGGTAGTTGTTCACTATGTTCCCATATGCTCCCTTTTCAAGTGATTGTCCCTTTTCAAGTGATTTCTGGACTGACGGACTGCATGTCGAACGACGACTGTCATCTCATTTGGTGTTTGAAATGCCAGGTTGTAACCTGCCTAAAAACCCTAAAAATCACCCGATTGTGGGTAAATCTGCTGTAAGTACCCCATGCAGTCTCCATTTACTCTCATTTAATGCATTGATATGTAGATGAAATCTGCACCATTAAAGCTCAACAAAGACCGTTTTTGCACATTCGACAGTTCCATCCATCTCCAAGGGCAGAACATCATCGACTAGTCACCTCCATGACTCGTTCGTTGGAATTCCAGCCCAAAACAGCAAAATAGCTGATGGCAATCACCGAATGTTCCTTGGTTACCCCATTATCATGATGAGTTTTGTTTCTTTTCATTAATGGAAACATAGAACATATATACATATATATACATGTATAACATATATATAAATATAAATATATATACCTATACATTAATCTATACACCCAAGTTGGATAGTGAATCCCCAGCGAAACTTCAGCGTTTTTAGATCTGCAGGCCGGAGAAAAGGCTTGTCAGAGTGCAGGTCTCAGTTCAAAAAGCGCCAGCGCGGCTGGGTATCTGGCCGTTTTTGGAGGCCTAGGTGAGGAGTAGGTGAACTTGTGGTATGTGTGTTTCCCAAAACACACATGCCCAGATGCTCCAGGGTGCTGGAATATGAATCCCTACATTTACCCAAAAATGGCCAACATGTAGGTAAATATACCATAATATTCCATACATGGAGCATCTGGGTTTATAACAATAGCTTTTATGTTCATACCCAGCTGTTTTGCTTTAAGAAATGGTTCAAAGGTTAGTAGCTCAGATTACGACAAGACCCTGTGTCTGTGGTGTGTGTGTGTAGGCCATGTACCTACTACAAAGGATTTAACCAGTTTGGGTCTACCCAATTTTTGGACAAACGCATTTTTATAGCGACTACATGGGCGATTTTGTACAAACCCACCAATTTTAGAACCTTTGGATTTAAGCTGTGGATTTTGCTTTGGAAACATAGCTTCGACAGTATTAGAATACATTGGCGTTTGGCAAGCACTCCACAGTTTCTATCCTTCTCATGCGTTGTTCAAGTTTGTAGGTTTGGTTGTTGTTTTTTCACCGTTTTCCTTGCTGGTCAAAGAGTAGCGTGGTTCGCTACATCACTACCATCGTGTCATCTCAGGTGAAAGTTGGTTGTAAACCCTGGCCGCGCATATCGGCAAGATACCGCAAATTCTTGCTAAGTTAGGCTGTTGGTTTTCAATGTGGGTATGGGTCAATACCTATAGATACATTTTTAGTGGGATGAACATCCATTTACCAGCTATTTTGGGGTTCACTAGGTACCAGGGTTTTGACCCATCCCCATGTGTTTAATGTTCAATCCAACATAAAATGATGATGCGCGACTCAGACTTTTCGGATGAGTGGCTCAACCTCCAGCCAGAAAAGCCAGGAAACCTCGAAGACATGGCGGAAACATAATCTTTAATTGGCAATATTTCAGTATATGAAGATTATGTTGGCAATGATATTAGATATGATATAATTACTGGGAATTATACATATATATATATACAGGGCAATTATATGAAATCCCAATATATCTAGTATATGATAATATATGCAAGCCCTAGTGATCCAGTCCTATCATCCAAAGAGCATATGATTAACCTGTCACCGCAAAATCGATTTGTTACCAATATCCATTCACACTTTTAATTTATAATGGCTATTGTTTCACCAACAGATGTTTCTTCGGTTTTCAAAGGAGTGAAACATGTTGTGTATCAATTTGTATCATGTTGTATCCAGATCTATCCCAACGATAAGAAGGTGAAACCTGTACTCGACAACAAGTTTCAAACTTCACAAGCTGATACCCCTTAGCCAAGCTAGCTCAGTTGCTTGAGATAACAATGCTAACTGTTTTGGTATGATTTGTCTGTGGTGGATACATCACGCTAATTATATATAAGTGGTTTCAGATACATCTTGTACCATATTGTCGATTACATGTCCCAATTATATTCCCAGTCTGGTTGATTATAAACCGTCATTGATATTGGTATGTATACTATAAAATATGTACGTGTGGATTATTCATATATTGTGACATATTATATACAATTAAATCAGTCATTATGGGTTAAATTCCAATAATACCTACATTACCCTCTGGTTATTTAACATAGCCATGGAAAATGGCCCTAATCGAAATAGATGGTTTACCTATTAAAAATGGGGGATCTTTCCAGTTCGCTATGTTGGTCATAACCAGATGGTACATCCTATTAAATCCCATTAAACCACCATAAATCCCATAAAATCCCATAAAAATCCGTTAGTCATAACCGGTATGTCCCTATGATATCCCCATGATGGTTGGGAACCGCAGCCCCATTGACTCGGTCCGAGGTTCGTGGATTTGTGCTGTGCGGGTCGCGCTCGACCCAATCCACACATCAAGGTGTGGAAGTTGTGTTGGAAGCCAGGGAACACAACGGGTCAACTCAGGAAATTCCCACCATTTGCGAGCTGGAAAATGATGGAAAATGGCCATTTAGTTCGATGATTGATTATAATTATGTTGAAAATTGGGATTTTTGATAATTTGATAGCTACTGTTATGGCCCTTTACCACTAATAACTCAAGTATACCCCCCATGTATGGAATGAACACCCCATTTATAACATCTTAAAACCATTTATAACTGTAAAAGGGCTTTAACTGTATGTTATAATATCGAAGAGTATGTTTTGAGCGGAATCTTGGTGAAGGGTATGTTTGGGTGTGGATGAGGTAATTCATGGGTATAAGCAAGGCTTGAATCAGATAGTCTTGGGTGTGACCCGCGTAACTATGGAAGATGGATAGCCAAAAATCAGGGACAATTAGTGCGGAACATGATGATTGTCATAGGATTTGGCATGAATTAGCCACGAAGAATTTAAATAAGTACTAAAAATGGATGGCTATCAATCTGTAAGTCTCAAAACCACGCATAGCTGCATAGCCCAATTTGTGGCCATTACAAAATCGGGAAACATAATCCTGAAAGTGTTGGATTTTGCGGTAGCCGACAAACCCATATCCTGTCATATCTAGAAACTGGTTGTGCATTTGTTAACTAATGAATCTACATAGAAATTTCATGATATAACCAAGCAAACATACGGGATATGGTCAGGCAAACCAACCACTGAAGCGCAGGTGTTCAATCATTTCATGCTGATTTACCCACATCCCATAAAGGCTTATGGTTCACAGAATCCTGTTTGGCACTCACTTTTCAGATCCCATGTTCAAAACTTTAACTGATAGATTTGGAAGAGCGACAGTAACTGTGTTCTGTTTGCAGGACACTTCAGTTATAGCCCTTAAGGTTCTATATCATTGAAACCCAGTTATAACTTATAACTGGTTCTTAATGATATATATATATAAATACTTAATATTAACCGTAGTTGCAACTGTTCATCAACATGCGGATGAGTCTCGGGGATTTCTACCGGGTGAATAGGATGTGAATATATCATCCACCGCCCCAGCTGATTTGGGTTGTAGTTTAAACACACAGAATACTGTAATTGTTAATTATGTATTTTGATGTTCATCAACTTGCTGGTTCTTACTAATTGGGGAATGAAAGAATGGGATGATTATCAATTGTTTGTTAATTTGAATTCCCTCGTTCCCTAAGCACCACAAAGTACCCTCTGGTAAACGTTTACATAACGAACTGGAACATCACCATGCTAATAATGGGTAAATCCGCTATTTCTATGACGATTTTCAATAGCTTTTTGTATGTTTACCAGGCCGGGTATAGTAAAATCAATGGCGACATCCATTTGGCCAAGACATCCCCAAGCTGCTGTCTCTTTGAGTTCTAGGCCGCCTACGCGCAAAATCGCCGTGTCTTTGAGAAGCAACGGGGCCCATGCACCGTGGCTGCGATGGGCCAGCGAAATCCGAATCACCAGTTGGAAACGGTGGTAAACATCCCATTAGGGTTTTAACCATCCTTTTGGTGATGCAGGATTGCTTTCAATATGTATATATATACACGGCAAATGCCTGGGCTTTGCCCCGACCCGCAACCTTTGTTGATCTTCGCAATTGAATGCAGAGTCTAACGGGGTAGAGTTTAACGGGGGTCAATTTTAATAGTCCCTAATACCTTTGTTGATCTTCCCAATTGAATGTAAAGTTGCAACAACATTTGATTGGGAATGGTAACCCTCTTCGCTGCAAGGCTGGGGCAAAGCCCAGGTGTTGCGCGTATGTTGTGTGTGTATGTCTTGCATGTTTTTGGAACTGTGGTTGTACTGCTACTAATCACATCCACTATCATCAGGAACATCACAGTCATGCTGTTGTCCTCCAACTCATTTTGACCATCTCCAAGGTTTTTTTGGCTCCCGATTTATGAAGCCTGAGATTGTCCAACCGTATGCATCCTAAAGATAAGGCCCTTTCAGCAATGGTGGGATCAAAGGTAGAGATGCTACATGTCAGCAGTCTTCAAAGCCTCTTGTTGGTGGATGTTTCTATAGCAACATATACAAAGGGAATGATATGTTCATAGCAATATAGTGGGGATGATGAGTCATCCATTGTGGTGATTTCCATTCATCAACCAGTAATTACAATGAAATGACAGAGATTGTTGAGCACTGTTCAGATGAATCTGCATAATTTTATATACCTATAATCAGGAATTGGTATCAACTATCAACCAAACTTTGCAAGACCGCCGCTCCAATAACTCACATTAGAAGCGTGGTTTACTGAACATTTCCTTCAAAGCAAGCTTCAAACTTAGGTGCTGTTGGCTCTTCTGAGGATCCATGTTCATCCATTTTCTGGGTATTGTTCCTGTTGAGAGATAGTTTGAAGTTCAGTGGCCAGAGCAAACCATATCTGGTTGGTGCTTTGGAACATGGCTTTTATTTTTCCCATCATATTGGGAATGACTGTGGGAATGTCATCATCCCAACTGACTTTCACTCCATGATTTTTCAGAGGGGTGGCCCAACCATCAATGGATTGGTTGAAGGGAAAATTGAAACCGGAAAACATTGAAAGCACCAAGCAGATATCTTCCATGACTTGGCTTCTGTGAGCCGATGGATTTTTGTTCATTTTCCCGATGGTGGAATTCGACGAAAAAGTGGGGAATCTATTGCTGGTTGCTGGTTTCAAACATGGTTTTTATATGTTCCATATATGGGATGTCATCCGAAACCCATTGACGAACTTGACTCATATTTTTTCAAGATGGTTGAAACCAGCAACCAGATATAAATATAAATATATATATATATGGATTTGGGGTCTGTTGGGGGATTATTGAACTATCCATGATGCGGGACTCCAGTTCATAACCAACCAGTAGGTACATTTTTTTTGTTTACTATTTCTGTTGGTACCCCTTAAGCAAATCCTGTTGTTAAGACATCATCCGAATCTGATTGAAATATGATATACCCTTAACGACCCATGGGAACTTTAGATAACCTTGGAACTATCCACAGGAAGAGAGCCCGAGATCCCGTACACAGCCCCTTTTTGGGGGGGAGGTTGCATTAAATAGT